ATCGAAAACCTGTTTGAAACAATAATGGCAGAAAACTTCCCTAACTTGGTGAAGGAAACAGACATAAAAGTCCAGGAAGCACAGAGATCCCAAACAAGATGAACCCCAAGAGGCACACACCAAGACACATCATCATCAAAATGCAAAAGGTTCAAGACAAAGAGAGAATCTTAAAAGCAGCAAGAGAAAGGCAGCTAGTTACCTACAAGGGAGTTCCCATTAGTCTGTCAGCTGATTTCTCAAAAGAAACTTTGCAGGCCAGAAGGGAGTGGCAAGAAATATTCAGAGTGATGAAAACCAAGAACCTACAACCAAAATTACTCTATCCTGCAAAGCTGTCATTTAGAATTGATGGACATATAAAAACTTTCCCAGACAAGAAAAAGTTAAAAGAGTTCATCACTACCAAACCGTTATTATATGAAATGATGAAGGGTCTTTTTGAAGAAAAAGAAAATGTATGAACAAACAAAATGGCAATGAATACATATCTATCAACAATGGAATCTACAAACAAAATGAACAGGAAGAACAGAAACATTCTCATAGATACAGAGAACATTTTATTGGTTGGCAGTTGGGAGGGGGGTTGAGGGAATGGGTGAAAAAGGTGAAGGGATTAAGAAGCACAAATTCATTGCTAGACTGACAAACCTCAAAGGGAAAGGGGTTGGGGGGGTGGGAAGAAATAAACCAATGAACTTATATGCATAACCAATGGACACAGACAATAGTGTGGGAAAAGGTGGGAGGGGGCGGGAGTGGGGAGGAGGGGGTCAATGGGGGAAAATGTGGAACATCTGTAATACATTTTACATCCAACAATAAAGATTTGAAAAAAAAAAAAAAGAAAGAAAGAAATGACATAGAAACTAAAAAAAAAAATTCAAAAGATCAATGAAACCAAGAGCTGGTTCTTTAAAAAGATAAACAAGATGGATGAATCTTTAGCCAGACTCATCAACCAACAAAGAGAAAGGACCCAAATAAACAAAATAAAAAATGAAAGAGGGGAAAGAACAACTGACACAACAGAAATACAAAGGATTGTTAGAAAATACTATGAACAATTATACACTAACAAATTGGACAACCTAGGCAAAATGGATAAATTCTAGAATTACATGGTCTCCCAAAACTGAACTGGGTGGAGTCATAAAACTTGAACAGACCAATAACAACTAAGGAAATTGAAGCTGTAATCAATATACTCCCAGCAAACAGAAGCCCTGGTCCAGACAAGTTCACAGGGGAGTTTTATCAAACATTCATTAACACCCATTATCCTCAAACTATTCCAAAAAATTCAAAAAGAAGGAAGACTTCCAATCACTATTAATGAGGCCTAGCTCCAAACCCAGATAAAGACACTACAAAGAAAAAAAAACTATAGGCAAATATCCCTGATGAACGTAGATGCCAAAATCCTCAACAAAATATTAGCAAATTAGATCCAGCAATATATTTAAAAAATTATTCACCACGATCAAGTGGGATTCATCCCAGGGATGCAAGGCTGGTATCATATTCACAAATTAATAAATGTGATACACCACATAAACAAAATGAAAGATAAAAATCATATGATCATATCAATAGATGCTGAAAAAGCAGTTGACAAAATCCAGCACCCATTTCTAATAAAACACTCAGCAGTGTGGGAATAGAGGGATCATATCTCAACATAATAAAGACCATATATAAAAAACCTACAGCCAACATCATATTTAATGGGTAAAAACTGAAAGCATTTCCCTTATGCACAGAAACGACAGAAATGCCCATTTTCACCACTCATATTCAACATAGTATTGGAAGTCTTAGCCACAGAAATCAGACAAGAAATTTTTTTAAAAGGAATCCAAATTGGAATGAAACTGTCATTATTTGCAGATGATGTGATATTGTACATAAAAAAATCCTAACGATGCCACCAAATATCTACTAGATTTAATAAGTGGATTCAACAAAGTAGCAGGATACAAAATTAACATCCAGAAATCAATGGCATTTTTATTCACCAATAATGAGCACTCAGAAAGAGAAACTAAAAAACAATCTCATTTACCATTGCAACAACAACAACTAAAAAGAAGACACTTAGGAATAAATTTAACCAAGGAGGTAAAAGACCTGTTCTCAGAAAACTACAGGACATTGAAAAACAAAATAGAGGAAGATATTTAAAAAGTGGAAGCATATACCATTTTCATGAATTGGAAGATTCAACATCATTAAAATATCCATAAATTAGACTATATCTCTGACTTATCCAAAGCAATCTACAGATTTAATGCAATCCCTATTAAAGTACCAATGGCATATTTCACAGATGTAGAACAAATACTCCAAAAGTTTATATGAAAACAAAAAAGACCCCAAATAGTCACAGCAGTCTTGAAAAAAAAAAAAAAAAAAAAACAATAAAGTTGAAGCGATCACAATACCGAATATCAAGTTATACTACAAAGCCATCGTAATCAAAATAGCCTGGCACAAGAACAGGCATATAGATTAATGGAACAGAACAGAGAACCCAGAAATCTATCCAAGTCATTATGAGCAATTAATATTCAACAAAGGAGGTAAGAGTATACATTGGAGAAAAGACAGTCTCTTCAATAAATGTTGCTGGGAAAACTGGACAGGTACATGCAAAAAAAAGAAAAAAAAAAAAGAAACTAGACCACCAACTTATACCATACACAAGAATAAACTCAAAATGAATAAAAGACTTAAATGTCACTCATGAAACCATAAAAATCCTAGAAGAAAATGTAGGCAGAAAAATCTCAGACATCACAGGAAGCAGAATTTTAACTGATACATTGCCTAGGACAAGAGAAACAAAGGAAAAAATTACTAAATGAAACTGCATCAAACTAAAAAGCTTCTGCATGACATAAGAAACCAGCATCAAAATGAAAAGGGAACCCACTCTCTGGAAAAACATATTTGCCAATGATACATTGGATAAGGGGTTAATATCCAAAATATATAAAGTACTTATACAAATCAACAAAAGGAAGACAATTCAATTAAAAAGTAGGTAGAGGACCTGAATAGACACTTCTCTAAACAGGACATACAAATGTCCAGGAGACATATGAAAAAATACTCAACACCACTAATCATCAGAGAGATGCAAATTAGAGATATCATCTACCTGGCCAGAATGGCTACTACCAACAAATCATCAAACAAGTGCTAGCGAGGATGTGGAGAAAAGGGTACTCTAGTACATTGCTGATGGGAATAAAGACTAGTGCAGCCACTGTGGAAAACAATATGTTGTTTCCTCAAAAAATTAAAAATGGAATTGCCATTTGACCTAGGGATTCCACTTCTAGGAATATATCCTAAGAATCCTGAAACACCAGTCAGAAAGAATATGTGCACCCCTATGTTTATAGCAGTGCTATTTACAAGAACTAAGAACTGGAAACAGCCCAAGTGTCCATAAGTAGATGAGTGGATATAAAAGCTGTGCTACATATACACAATGGACTATTATGCAGCTGTATGAAAGAGAGATCTCTTACCTTTTGAGATGACATGGAAGGACCTGGAGCGTATTATGCTGAGTGAAATATACCAGTCAGAGAAAGACAAGTACCACATGATCTCACTTATTTATGGAATATCATGAACGCAATAAGCTATTGATCAAAATAGATCCAGAGACATGGAAGTAGGAAACAGACGGACAAACCTCAGAGGGAAAGTGGGTGAGGGGTTGGGAACAGAGAAACCAAAGAGCTTATATGCATATATGCATAACCAATAGACATAGACAATAGTTTGGGAAAAGCAGGAGGTGGGTGGGAGCAGGGAGGAGAGGGTCCATGGGGGACATCAGTAATACTTTCAATAATAAAGATAAAATAAATATTTTCAGAATATCCTCATGAACAAAAAAATATTCTTAGCTAAACATAAGAATGATTAGCCCTGGCCGGTTTGGCTTGGCAGTTAGAGTGTAAGCCCACAGACCAGAGAGTCCAAGGTTCGGTTCCTGCTAAGAGCATGTACCTGAGTTGCCGTTTGTCTATGGCTCCAGTTGGGGTCATGCGGGTGGCAAAAGTCAATGTGTCTCTCTCACATTGATGTTTCTCTCTCTCTTCCTCCCTCTCTCCCTCCCCCTCTATCTGAAGACACATGCAAAAATGTCCTAAGGTGAAGATAAAAAATATATAAATAAGAATGCCTGGAAATTATCTGAGACCAACAAACTATCATATAGGAGACAGGTCTTATAAGATGTAGTGAGCTGCTGGGTAAGTTTGTCCCAAAAGCACAGTCAAGGTTATGAACTGAAATCACCCCAGCTTTTCTCGCCTCAAACTGGTTATCATGTGCTATCTGTGCCATCTGGATGTGGTGTAAGTGTGTGGTGATTTTTATAATAAACACATGGTAACTCTAATGTTATCAAGAATCAGAATGATAGTGCAAAAACAAACAAACAAAAAAAGCAGTAAGGTCAGGCCTTGAAATATATTATCATTCTTTCAAGTTGAGACATTCAAAGAAATTATTGCTATCTGACACTGGTGTATGAACATGAAAAATGAAGTAGAGAAATAAGGTCATTTCCTAAAGAAATCAACATATGCACATAGCACACAAGTACACAGACACGTTCACCCGGAGAGCCACCTGGAGACTGGAGCACGATCGCACTGTCGCTAGCAGGAGCCCGTGAGTGCCAGCCTGAGGGCAGCAGGCCGATGTTTGATAAACTCAGTCTGGCCTCTGCTCTTATTCACCAGCCTGTTCTCAGAAAGTATTGTTGCATATATGTATCCTCAGGTTTTCCTTTTTTTATTTTCTTTTTAGCAAGCAAATATATAGAGTATGATTAAACTCTTTTCCCTCACAGGAAAGAGGTGCAATGATTAAAAACTTAATAATGCCCCCATCAGATAGAAAGTTTCTTTCTACTATCAAAACATAAAATCTGTTTACTTTTACTTATTAAAAATAATATAGTTTATTACCTTCAAAGTCCACATCTCCGACTAATTTTGTTTTCTCTGTCACTGGGTCGTGGACATAGTTGACACCCACGTCAATCACAGCAGCCCCTTCTTTAATCATATCAGCTGTGATCAGCTTTGGAATACCTGGAAGCAAAACAAAGCTGTAAAACACTCTAGAAAATGCGTTCAACTTGGTCATGAGTATAACAAAAGTGTACACATCGAATGATTTTGTTGTCATGGCTTTAAAATGTATATAACATACACTGCTCCTAACTGTCTTGATCATTTCTGAACAAGCAGAAGAACAAAGGGAGCACACATGGGCTTCTGTGGATAAAACCCTGCCAGGATTTACCCTTTCGCCTCTGGGACTTCCGACCACTCCACAGGGGTACCTGCTCAAGCAGCACTCCTTAGTATTTCATGTACTATAAACGACATGGGGAGATTATGGAGATGAATGAGGCTCCTGCTGGGGTTCACTGCAGTGGAATGGAGTGACAACAACTTGGACATTAGAGGCAGACAAAAGAAAGAGAGGGAGGAAAGGAGGAAAAATAAAAATAATAAGGATGATATCTTATATTCCTCAAGCTTGTGGTAAACTGTAGAGTGCAATACACATACTCCAAATGTAAAATGCTATCTTGAGCTTTCTTTTATTATTTTTTCTTGGTTTCTCTGATTAAGTACATCGTGTATGCCTTGGACATTTATAAGATATAGTAAACTCTACTCACTATTTCTCTATTCCAGTTTGAAAGATAGTTTACAGAGATCTTATATCACCATCTATTTTTGTATTTACAAATGACTCTTATTTTTGTTAATAATTAACAAACCATTTCCAAACTTAGTATCTTAAAACAACAGTTTATTATGTTTCATGGTTCTGTGAGTTGACTGAGCTCAGCTGGATGGATCTTCCTTGGGGTCTTCCATATAACTGGAGTCCTAGTGGCTGAGCTCAGATGGGGCTGTCAACTGGGGCATATGAGCATGACTGATCCATGTGACTTAGGCTTCTCACAGCCTGGCAGGTGGCTTCCAAGAATGAGTGTTCCAAAAATCAGGAAGTAGAAGCTGCTGGTGGTTTAAGGCTGAAACCTGGAAACTGACACAATGTCACTTCCATCATATTCTATTCTACAGAGTCCACTTAGATTTCAGGGGAAGGATAGAGACTCCACTTCTCAGAGGGAGGAGAATCAGAGAATTTGTGGCCATCTTCACTCTACCACAATGCCTCTGGTGGACATTTTATTTGGTAGGTGAGTAAATCACCTTCACATTCTACATCCCTTGCAGGAAAAGAGCTACCTGTTGTGTTTTCAGAGGCTTTATTCTAGCATCTAAAAGTGTTCATTTAAGAATTCCAGATGGCTTAAATCTAACCCTGCAATATATGACTTTTAGTGTTAGTAAAAATATAAAGGCCATGGAGAAATGGTCAGTGCTAAAATAGACATAGCTATCTCAAAGGTCACCCAGCCACATAATGATATAACCATGAGGCATCAATGTTGAAGATATATTTTTTCCCCTGCTTTCCCATCCTATCCCATAGATCTTCTTCCTTTTTAATAGTTCTAGAAATTTAGTATTTTCTCAAGATAATCACAAAATCCTGTTTCTTCTTGGCACCCAATAGAGAAAGAAAATATGCATTCATTATGACTACAGAAAATATTTTTAAGATGAAAATGTTGATAAAATACTTATTAAAATCTAACTACTATGCTTTTGAGAAAGACCCAAATCTCCTTCCCAATTGTAACTGTTCATAAAAATTTCTCAGAAAATATCAGATTGTCAATGGACAAATGCACAGTTTTCTAAATAGAGGAAAATGTGAACTTGGTGTTAATACCCAGGAAAATCACCAAATACAAAAAAAGTTAAATGCACATTTATTTTTTTCAATATGATGTTATGTACGTTAATTTAAGATAAAAATAAAAATCACTATAATCTTGGCTCAGCGGTTAGAGTGTCGGCCTGTGGTCCAGAGAGACCCAGGTTTGGTTCCCGCTAAGGGCACGTACCTCGGTTGCAGTTTGTCCCCGGCCCTGGTTGGTCGTGCGGGTGGCAGCCACTCAATGTGTCCCTTTCATGTCGATGTTTCTCTCTCTCTCTCTCTCTTCCTCTCTCTCCCTCCCACTCTATCTGAACAAAAAATGGAAAAACATCCTCGGGTGAGGATAAACAAAAACAAATAAACAAACAAAAACAAAGATAATAAGTATATTTTTATTGCATTTCTTTCTAGGATTTCAAAATACTTGAATATAAAGTACAGTGTCTGTAACTCTATTTATATTGTGCCTCATTATGCATTTTACCACTTTGTCATGAAAATTAAATCATGAACATTTTCCCACTTCATCTATTATTTGAAATTTTAAAACCACATGAAATAATTTATTATGTAGATTATCATAATAAAGTATTCATTCCTAAATTATTTCCAATTTTTTTTTATAAATAATGCAATGATGATCATTTATGGTCAGGAAACTACAGAAGGTTTATTAATTGAAGCATTAAATTTGACAAAATTTTTTACTGAATCATTATAACATAATGAAAAAACATGGATTGGATGAAAACTCCTATTGGTATAGTCATAGCTGTTTAAATTTTTTCTTTTAATCCTAATTGGAGGATATGTTTTTATTGACTTTAGAGAGAGAGAGAGAGAAAACATCGACATAAGAAAGAAACATTGATTGGTTGCCTCCCATAAGCACCTCAATTAAGGATCAAATCCGCAACCTACACATGTGCCCTGACCAGGAATTGAACCCACAACCTTTTGGTGTATGGGACAACACTCCAACAAACTGAGAACTTGGCCAGGGCAGTATAGGCATAGCTGTTTAAATAATATTCCAAAACTGTTGATCAATGCATCTGTAAGGTCTATTGACATCTTCCATAAAAAGTATTTTTAATGCCATTTTCAAAATTTTTATAAAGAACTTGGAAGAGCCTGGCTTCTATGGCTCAATAGATTGAGCATCGTCCCATGGATGTAGAGGTCCCAGTTTGATTGCGGGTCAGGGAACATGCCCGGGTTTTGGGCTCAATCCCCAGTAGGGGACATGCAGGAGGTAGCTGATAGATGTTTCTCTCTCACATTGATGTTTCTATCTCTCTCTCCCTTCTTCTCTCTCTAAAAAAAATTAAATAATTTGGAAGAACACATTGACATTGTGATGGTTATTTTATCCTTGTCTACTTCCAGGTCCATTTTCTACCCTTCTCTGATCTACTGTATGCCAGGGCTAAGGCTGACTCTTACAGCGGTCTTGTGAGCTTCCTATTAATACCCTTGGAACCCTGGCACAGCCTGAGAACAGGCTCAAGCCAGCCTACTGGAGGATACAGATCCTGTGGAGGAGAGCTGCATCATTTCAGCTGAGGCCACCCGAGGTCAGTCAGCCTCCAGCCAACCACCAGCTGAAGGCAGCTGCTTGAGCGCCCAGTTAAGATCAGAAGGAATAAGCTAAATCCACCATAACTGACCTGCTGAACCACAGACTCATGAGACTTTTTTTTTTTTTAAAGATGGTTGTTTTTTTTTAAAAAAAAAGCGCTTGTTTTTTTCACACAGGAATAACTGTATAGCCTCTGTTCACAAATGACACAAAATTGGATAGAATACCTTTATTCCAAAGTAGGTAGCCACTTAGGTAGCATGAATTAGAAAGGGGATAAATGGCCCAGCCAGTGTGGCTCAGTGGTTGAGTGTCGACCCATGCACCAAGAGATCACTGGTTCGATTCCCGGTCAGGGCACAGGTTGTGGGCCGGATCCTCAGTGGGGGACGTGCAGGAGGAGGCTAATCAGTGTTCTCTCTCATGGATGTTTCTATCTCTCTCTCCCTCTCCCTTCCTCTCTCTCTAAAATCAATAACAAAAAAAGGGAAAAAAAGGGAAAAAAAGGGGGGGGGGGATAAATATATAATTCCAAGCAGGTGTTATACTTGATTAAAAACTATTAGGCTATGATGCTAAGACAAATAGTGTCCAGACACAAGGAAGTAATGTTTTCCATTGTAGTTTTAGCAGACTCTCTGGAAGTGTGACCATACTCTAGGGAAGAGTGGTTAGAGTGGATCTAGAAACCATGTCAAACCAGTTGGCTCAACTGTTTATCTGCAACAACATAAGAAAGCTTGTGCCGCAATGTGAAGCAACTATGTCCCTAAACACACTGTTTAACACTGGTTAATTCAGCTAGCTTTGTTTTTTTATAGCAAGACTTTTTCAGTGAAGGAAGCAGTATGTTGATTTATATATATTCTGGCACAGTCCCTTGTGAACCTATAACATACAGTTCCCAAAGGGTAAGAAACAACCAGGGACCAGTCCTAGTCCACACACTGACTACCTCTGAAATAGAGGAATAGTTCAATAAACTCAAGCTGCCTATCTCAGGAAAAAAATACAACCAAAAACAAAGTCAAATGCCAATAATTGTGATGTCTTTAATATGTTAAACTGAATAGAAAAAATATTTATTCTGTTTTCAAAGGAAAGAATAAAGGAAGGAAGGAACAATGGAAGAAAATAGATTTTAGCTCAACATAGAGAATATTTTAAGAATACAAAAATATGCCACAAAGAAAAACTTTATATTGTCCTTATTCCTCATTACAAATATTCATAATAGGGTAAAAAAGGATAGAATTGGGAAGGTAAGTGATGCCTTCCAGCTCTATAATTTAAATATTCTCTTTTGTCTAGTCAAACTGAAAAAAAAATTGTTTCTTTCTTCTCACAACTAATTCATTTCTGAACCCTTGTAGACGTCTGATCCTATAAAAGGCCCAACTAAAGAAAAGAAAGATAATGCAAATTTACTAATGATTGAAATTATAATACACATAAAAAAAATCTCTATTTTATATATGTTAAATACTCTAAGTCATCCACTTACAATGTTGTCTTGTAGAGTCAAATGATTGATTTATTTAGTTGCCAAAATATACACTGCAATATATTTAAATTCTTTTTTTTTCATTGATTTATTGACTTTTTATTTTTATTTATTTTTTTTATTTTTTATTTTTTATTTTATTAATTGTTGTTACAAATGATTCTCCTTTTTTTCCCCCACTGATTCCCCCCTCCCCC